CGAGGGGAGGGTGGGGCGGCAATATCCACCGGCCGTGGGGGTGGGGGGTGGGGGTGGAGGCAGGAGTTTAGGTCTGGGACTGTGGGTAGGGCATGGTTGAGGAGGAACGTCATGGAACAAGAGAAGAAGGTGCGGGAGGAAGAAGATGAACAGATGACTGCGTACTCCTAACCGTTGGATATTGATTTGATAGACAAAGATAAAAGTGACAGGTGCGAAGAGATTTTCAGGTATCTGACATATAGATGCTCCAGCTGATTTATTTTCAATCATTTGCCCGTAGCAACGCACGTGCATTTAACTAGTATCTCATAACCGCAGACTATGCATATATATTCCGTGACAGAGGAAGATGACCTAGCTACATCCGCCGCCGTCACAACGCCTGCTTTGCATCTAGGACGGATCGAGAGCTCTCAACCGGCGACCGTGGCCAAGGCCGCAGAGGCAGGAGCGATGCCTTCCCTCCGTGCCCTCCCGGAGGAGATCGCGATATGGGAGATCCTCGTCCGCCTGCCCCCCAAAGCCCTCCTCCGCTGCCGCACCGTCTGTCGCGCCTGGCGCCGCATCACCTCCACCCGCGACTTCCTCCTCGCCCACCATGCCCGCCAGCCCGCCCTCCTCCTCCTCGACGACTGCACCAACTATGCAAAAGGCATCTCCGACTCGCTAAACATCATCTGCTTCGACCATCGGGCAGGGGTGGCCACCCCCGACCAGCTCCAGCCCGTCGCCCGACTTACTGCCCAAACCTCCTTTCATCTAGATGCCGCCTTGATGAGGGTCGGCTGCAGAGGCGACAATATCTCCTACTATCATCCGGTTGCCTCCTGCGATGGCCTCCTCATCCTCTGCGTCGAGGGCAGCGGCTTCTTCATCTGCAATCCGGCAACTCGCCAGTATGCTTGCCTCCCGCTCCCTTTGGGTCATGCGTGGTGGCTCCTGGGAATGTACCCTCACCCTTCTACTGACGAGTACAGACTATTGCTCTACTCATACAAGCGTATCACAGACGATGAGCGTCAAGATGCGTGCCACGTCTTGGCATTGGGCTCCGGCCATCCACCGAGGCATATCGGGTTGCCAGATGCGGTTACGCTGGGATTAGACGACCCTCATGTGCTATTCCGTGGTAGCCTGCATTGGTGCACATCTGATTATGACGGAGAATGCAAAACGATTGGGGTGTTCGACACCAGATCTGAATTGTTCCGGGAGATGCGTACTCCCATTGTTGCTTCCTGCATTGACCTGTTTGAAATGGACGACATGTTTGGCGTGGCCATCCTTGATTGTGAGAAAATCATTGATATACGGGTGTTGCAAGACTATGAAAGGGAGATATGGGCCTTAAATCGCCGGATTGAATTGCCCTTTGTGGAGATCAGGGTGCAGTGCGATAAGTATGACACATACATTCGGTCGCCGTTTTATGTGTCTGTCACGCCAGGGGATGGTGAGTTGCTTGTGTTGGTCAAATTTGCCGATTGGCTACTTGTGGTTGGCACGGATGGCAAGTTGGTCGCCACTTTACATCGCAAAGGACTAGATAGTACCTATTTTCAGCTTAAACAATCTCTTGTTTCGCATACCTTCTTTCATACACAAGAGAATTATGTTGTGAATGCTCCACCTTTTATCTGAAGTTTGTTGTATCCTCAAGAGCTGCAATATGTATGAATTGGATCCACTATAAGCTACCAGCTTGTTTGCTGATGCATATTAATCACGAAGCTATGACTGTTATATAGTTGCATGAAATCTATGCTTGTGTTGATATCCTTCCATGCTGAAGAAAGCGACTAATGTGCATCTGATTTTAAGATTATCAAAAGTCATTTCGATTTCTTTTTTCCTGGACTGAAGAATAAGTATATTGCTCTTTTATCTATTTGTCTTTTTATTAGTACTTGCTACTTAATTAGCAATCCAAGCGTGTTGTTTCCTCATTCTAAGCTTGTTCTAGCTTACTAATAAATGTGTGGCAGTTTATCCTCCTAATTTGTTTTCTGGTGAGTTTTACCTGATGTTTAGAGGTGGCTGTTGCTAGCTAGTTCACTTGAGCTAGCTGAAGCTGTTGTCAGCTAGTTTCACTTGAGCTAGCTAGAGACTCTTGTTTGCTTGAGCTAAGCTTCCTTGCCACAAGTTGTAGTTTCAGCTATTTCTGTTCCAGTTGCTGCTCCTCTTTTTTACTTGACTCTCTTTCAATGTTTGGTTTACACTAGTGATTGCTACCAGAAAAATCTTCATCACTAGCAATTCTTCATATAGTAGGGAATATCTTATGCGTATTGCAGTCAAATCTTAGAAAATCCAGTGCAGCCCGGCTGGATATCTGGCAATACAGTAGCTTCTTTTGTTGAAATGAACAGAGGCTCTTAAGGTCAAACTTACATGACTGAAACACCTGCATTCTCGAACTGTGAGTCTATTAAGATACAATTTGCACTACACAGCTTAGTATCTATTAATCAATTTGGTAGCCTAGTGTGTTTTGCATTAGCCTTTTGTGTTGTGTTCCTTCCGAAGGTTCCAGAAGCAATAGATGGCGCTGGCACGGCTTATGAGCACTGATATTGCATTCCATGTCAGTTCCACCAGACTCAAGGAGAGGGGCTGCAGTTAACAGGAAGGTTCAGAACAGGCTCACCGGTCCAGTCAAACAGAGCACGAGTACAGATAGTGCAGCAGAAGGTGCGACGATGATTCAGGCCTGATCACAGCAGGCCTTAAGTTATGATAAGGGCCAGCGCGATGCAGCTGATGAAGGTGTGCGAGGCTACAAGTTGTCCGATTGGAGGAGCATGACTGTCGCGCTTTCATCATGTTTCGATGCGGAGGAAAAAGATAGCTTTGGGGTTTAGCCTTGTCGTAGGATCGCTGCTTATGTGCTCGATCTAGTGTTGTTTCCTGATACTTGTGTTAGATGATGTAAGCGTGTGAGTTCTTTTGAACTTTGTGTGCTGTCCAGGTTTTTGCCCCACAACATTCGTTTCGACAGCGGGCGAATGCAGTGAGTTTCCTGGCAGTGTCTGAACTCGCTCTATCTCTTTCTCTCCTCCTGACAATGTTTCTGGAACTGGTTGTATTTCCGTTCATTTGCAATGGAAAGGGGTAAAGCCCAGTTAAAAAAATATATGATTTAGGTCGTTAGCTCTCCTCTAATAATCAAGATATTATCACTCCTCTCTTGACAAGAAGTACAACTGAAATAACAAGAGGGTGGCATGCACTGTATTTATACCATCACTAGGTTTTTAGGTTGTGATCACACGTATGTAAAGTAACACACCAGTATTTCCAAGGACTACAGGGCGCCGGCTTGGGGGAGGAGCGGCACCAGCTGGCCCTTGAGGTGCAGCGACATGATCGTGTCGGTGCGGCCCACAAGCTCGCCTACGATGAATACTGCCGGCACCACTGGGCTTTGGCTGACCATACCGGCCAGCGCCCTCTCGACCTCCTCGCCCTGGGGGGCCTTGTCCAGCTCGTGCACCATCGTCGAGCTCACACCCAGGTGCGCGAAGAGCGCCTTCATTGTGTTTAACATGCAGCAGCTGCTCACCCTGAAGATCACCACGGTGCCCTGAAAAAGACGAGCGCCGTCACCATGTCCGCCATTGCTAGCTGAATTGCATGCCTAGGCTTCTCCTCTAAATTTCAATCCCTCAGCTCACTTCACTTGAGCTATAGCTATGGGGTTTTGCTTCTTGCAGCTTAGTGATGGTGATGAGAATATGAGACGACCCAATAGATGGCCGGGGGCAAGTGCTTTAAGAAGAGAAAGTGCTTAATCGAGGTGTAAGGGAATTGCTGTGACGTGTGGCGAATAGGGGATAATGTATATATGTCCTGTGTTAAAAAGGGTTCTATTCTAGCACCACTTGTGACCTTTGCTTTTGGGAGCACTACTGTTTTGGAGCGGCAACAATCATATACTACCTCCGTTCCTAAATATAAGTCTTCTTAGGGATTCCAATACGGACTACATATGAAGCAAAATGGGTGAATCTACACTCTAAAATATGTCTATATACATCCGTATGTGGTACGTAGTAAAATATCTTAAAATACTTATATTTAGAAACGAAGGTAGTACTTGATAAGTAAAAATGAAGAGGAACAAGATTGAGATAAGCCGAACTTTAGTTGTTAGAATCACTGCTTCCACTGATGATTCATTAGGTTCCTGATAAGCTAGATTAGGATCCACTCTAATTGCCAGTTTTGCCATTGGTGCATGATGACCAGGAATACCATTAGTGTGGAGTTGTTGACATCATGCATTACATTTATTTTCTTAGTTGTGGAGTTGTGGGTGACAAGGAATGTCAATTAAAACCCCTCTATAAAATATTCCCTCATTTGGAGAAATAATTGATGTGGTTTTAGTTATTTTCGAACTGAGGGAAGAACATCTATCAAATTTTTTCTTAGAATAACTGCTAGTGGTAAATCGATGGATTAGAGATTTGCTGACATAAATATTGGAAAGAAGGAATATAATTTTGAAAAAAATGGATATTGATGATAACATTGACATTTGTACCTTGTCTTGTTGTTTGAGCCATCCCTGTCCAGAACAGGGATGAAACTTCCTTGACAAAATCTGTATTTACAGTTCTTTCTCTTTCAGTTGCTGCTCGCCATTTTTTTTTGGCTGTCTTACAAAGTTTTTATACAGTACCGATCATTAACAGAAAGTCCTCATGGAGGAAATATTATACACACTCCCGTCAAGCATGGACTGTGATTGTTCGGCGGTCACAGATGAGGGGCTGAATATTGTTGAGGAGCTCCTCTAGAGTGAAGCCATTGGCCGCGGCATGAACCGTTATTTGCGGCCAAAGGGAACCTGATGGAGTAGTATGGATGTGTTTGCGGCTGTGTTTGTGCTACGTCGATGCACCACTGCTGCATGAGGGCCAGCCGGCCGATGGATGGGTGGTGATACCAGCACGTATCGTGGCAACTGGCAAGTGCACCAAGATCAACGACCATGACGACAAGCACACCAAGATCGATCGGGATAGCTGTGCTCTAGCGGAGCCGGATCCCCTGACGTACGGCCACCTGACGTTGGGCCACTGACGCGTGGGTCCGGGTCCACACGTCAGCGAGTGCGCCGTACGTCAGAGGAGCTGCGTCCGTGCTCTAGCTAGCCTTGCGAGTTGCGACCGAGGTGAGGTGCTCTCTTTGTCCACTACGCGTCTGGTTAATTTGATCGTGATCCGGCCGGCTCGATCTCCTTTCTTTGTCCACGAGAATTATATACGTACGCGATGAGGAACTCTGCTTCTTCGAACTGCTCGCCTCCTGCGATGGTCTGCTCATCTTCCGCGTCCACGTTGTTAACTACTTCATCTGCAATCCGGCGACTCGTCAGTATGCTCGCCTCCCACTGCGCCATGGTATCATGCCCTTGGGAATGTACCCTCACCGACCTACTGGCGAGTACCCACTACTTCTCTACTCGCACAAGTTCTTGCTTCTCCCTGAGGGTTGGGAGCATGAGCCGGTACCTGGCAATGAAGTTTCATGCTACGTCTGGCCATTAGGCTCCGACCAGCCGCCGAGACACATCGGGTGGCCAGATGCGACTTCCCTGGAATTCTACACTTATGTGCTATTCCGTGGTAGCCTGCATTTGTTCCCATCGGATGATGGCAGAGAAAACAATATGATAGTGGTGTTCGATGAGCAATGCTATATTTACGGGGGCTTTACGCGTGTTTTACGGGGCTATGCTGACGTGGGTTGCACTAATTGGAATTGGGCATTAGCCGATGCCGGCACTAATTTGAAAGGAAAGGCCGTTGATTAAGTAAAAATAGTCCGTGAGTGTAGCATTTTTAGTGTTTGACACCACATCTGAGTCATTCAGGAAGATGCATGCTCCTGTTGCTACTGACCGGGCTGGCTTGTTTGAGATGGACGGCATGCTTGGCATGGTCATCTTTGATAATATGAAAATAATTGATATCTGGGTTTTGCAAGACTATGAAAGGGAGGTCTGGGCCTTAAATTGCCGGTTGCGGAGATCAGGATGCACTTGACAAGTATAACGGTTGACTGCAGTTGGATGTGCTTGTTGTGCCTAGGGATTGTGAATTGCTGGTGCTAGTCAAAGTTGACAGGTGGCTACTGCAGGTTGGCATGGATGGCAAGTTGGTTGCTACGTTCCATCACAAAGAAGTCGATCTTACTCACTATCAGCTCAAACAAACGCTTGTCCCGCATACCTTCTTTCAGACATGTCGGAGTAATGGGCCACAGGTAGGCTAACCCAGAGCCCAGAGCCTTTCAAGACATCGGGGCATGCAGTGCCCCTCAAGGCACCAAGATGGAGTGCTGCCTCCCGGTGGCCGGATGAAGGAATAGCCGGCTGCCCGTAGGCGGCCGAGTTCCAGAAACCGACTTCAAGACCAGCCGACTCCTAGTTAGCGGCTTCTAGGGAAACCGGCCCCTAGTAGTCGGCCCGTGGCGCTAGCAAAGCCCACACCCCCATTTAAGAAGACAAGACAGGGGATGGCTACAGTATAGACCATCCCCCTCCCCACGATTCAGGGACGGGCGTGGCCACAGTGCGCCGTACTGGCGGAGATCTCCGTCCGGCGCGGCATTGTTGCCACGCGCTCCTAACGTCACCACAAGCAGGCGGGGCCCTGCTCCCACGACGGCATGTCGGTACGGCCCAAGAACGACGGGTCCCACCAGTCAACGAGAGCCCGGAAGACGGCCAGAGCCTCACCAGTCGGACCCAAGGGAGGTCGGCCCCTAGCAGACAGCCCGCCCTTTCCTCGGGTCCCACGCGCCATTAACCAGACGAAACACGGAGTGGCTACAGTAACCGCCCACCAGGCGGCAGGAGCTGCAGCCACGATCCGCTGACCAAGCCTGCATCATTAGAGTCACGGCTACAGTAATCAGCAGCCGACAAGACCCGAGAGCGGCGGGGGCGGCCTGTTGGCTCCGTACCAGACCAGCCGGTGGGACCCACCAAGCGGCGGGCCCCAGCAGCCGGCAGAGAAGCCGGCGGTCAGAGAGACTGACAGCCGGGCCCTACGCCCCGACTGGATTACCATTGTACCCCTGGGGGGTAGGCCTATATAAACCCCCCAGGGCACCCATGCAAAGGGTTCGCACCCAGATAGGACTAGACTCATACCTAGGGGAGGGAAGAGCAAGCCTTGCCCTCTCCCACCTCTAGCATACAACTCGAGGAGCACCATTGTACACACTTGAGCCTTAGTGATCATGCGGAGACCCCGCAGAGCAGGACTAGGGGTGTTATCTCTTAGGAGAGCCCCGAACCTGGGTAAAGTTCGCCGGCGTACGTGTCTACGCCTCATCCCGCTTCTGGGCACCGGCGACGTTCTATTCGCTCCCACCATGATAAGCCATCCCTTAGCATATGTCGCACCCAACCCCCGACAAGACACTAGAGAGCTATGTTGTGAATGCTCTACCTTTCATTTGAAGACCGTTGAGTGAACTGGTGCTTCTTAACAGCCTAGACGTTTGTATCCTCACGAGCTGCAAGATGTATGAATTGGATACACTATGAGCTACTACCTTCTTTGTCGATGCACATAAAATTCTAATCTCTCGAAGCTTTGACTGTTACATAGTTGCATGAAATCTGTAGGTGTGTCGATACCCTTCCATGTTGAAGGAAGTGAGTGATGTGCGTGTTGATTCTAAGATTATCAAAATTCATTTTGACGCATTTGAAATATGTCAAGAATTATCTGGGTGATGTTTCTATTTTCTGGAACGGAAGAAATATTTTGCTCGTTGGTGAAGGAAAAGATAGTTTCTTTCTCCGAGGCGGCAGAGTGAAGCCATTGACCGTGGCATGAACCTGTTGCGACCAAAGGGAACCTGATGGACTAGTATGGATGGGCTTGCGGCTGTGTTTGTGCAATGTAGCACTCTCTGTACATAAGGGCATCTCCAGCCGTTGGCCCCTCAGGGGGCGTCTAAAAGCGCCGCTTGGGGGTGAGCCGGCGTAAAAAATGGCCCTGGGGTGAGTCGGTCCTCAGGGCCGCCCCCAGGCGCATATTAAAATAAAAAAAGAAGGACCGTTCAGCGAAGTTATGATAAAAACTAGTTAAATTTCGACCAAACATGGCAAATTTCGGTGAAATTCGCGCATTTTCATTACATTAACCTAATCTAAAAAAGAAAGGGGCTGAAGTCGTCGCCGCCGTCGTCGGCGGCGGCCTTCTCCTCCTTGACGCGGGCGCCCCTGCTGGATCCCCGCCCGGCGTCGCCATGGCGGACCGGCGGCGGCGCGTCGTCGTCGTCGTCGCTGTCGCATAAGACGATGACCCCGTCTTCATCGCGGCCGCGTCGGTGCTCCTCGAAGCGGCGCAGGGCGGCGCGCTGGCGCTCCTTCTCCTTCTCCCGGCGGGCCTTCTCCATCGCAATGGAGTCCTGGCGCGTCCATTCTAGGGTCGCGTCGTCGTCGTCGAACTCCGCCTTCACCGACGCCAGCCCCGGCTTCGTCTTTAGCTTGACGAAGCGCGGAGGAGCCGACGAGGAGGA